ACAACGCTAAATCATAATCGTCGCCGTAAAAAGAACAAACAATCCACTCGACGTCACCACGAAATAGTTTTCGCTAATGTATTACCATTTCAACGTTATTTAAATCCATGACGTCACTGGGTAGTTGTTTTTACAAGGGGTTCGTGAGTCATTCGCAAAACATTTTTTCAGGTGCGTTCTATCCGATTTATACATCCATATCCTCCTGGTCCTCGATGTAAATCAACTATCGTTAGATTTGCATTCGAGGCATATTTCATACATATCATTTACTGTTTATTCATAACATTATTAGAATATTAATTCAAACGTATTGCTAAATGTATTCTTTGTCAGGGCATAACCCCACAATACACACAATTCAATTCTTATTCATATTTACATTAATAACATAATATGATATGTGTGACCTTGGCTATGAAAACATTGTTCACTTTTAATGGTATGTCAAGAATATACCGTTGAGTCACACCATCAGTCAAATTTATAGGTATATTATATAATTTTATTCAACCAGTTAATTTGAAGTTTTGTTTACATATGGTATTAATTCTCACTGTTGCTTCAAACGAACACGCAATTGAAAGGTCGCAAGTATTATTTCTCAATAGTCCATATTGTGATTATCAAGATTATCATACATAACATATATATAGTCTGGTGAGCGATATCAACAACACTGACACATATTCAAATTCATTGCATCCTGCATTATTTTCAGTGTCTATATATGCTGAAATACAAATCTTTTCGAAGACCTTTCACAGCTCTATGAGAGGTAACATTGACAGCATTGAAAACGCATAGCTCGTAGAGACGGCGTTGCTCATATTATTAAAGATTGATTTTAAATCGGTAGTTGCTAGTCATGTAGTAGAATCTGAAGGAAGTACAAATTTTCGACCTTTCGTAAATAAAATGCACTAATATGTAGCCATCCGGAAGGGACTTTGTTGCTACACCATATTGCGGTCGCACGATAGGTGCAACACCCATCAGTTTTAATGTCAATAAACACTTCAGGCATTTCGATAAAGTAGACTTACTTTTATAAAAGCAGAACGGATAACCTAATTTATGAAAATAAACTAACATTTCCTGATCGCGACATTGTACATTAGGGCGTTTTCTGGGAGGATTAAAACAAATCGAATGTTGGAATCGATACAATATTCATAGATTTATAATGAAATGGGGATTGGCTTTGATTTCAGAAACATTTCGAATATCTTCGTTTGAAAGTTTGAAGTAAAGTCACCACCCGGCATTTGTGCTAATAAAATATAAGATTAAAATACTGCGCACTTTCGAATCAATGTCTTGAAGATATTTTTGTCGTAAAAATTTCCCGAGATTATTACATTTAGAGGTTCTTTCGAAATGATTCGGCCTCTGACCATGCTTTGAGAAACATAAAACGTTCAGAATACAGATTGTAATCGAAGTTCTCGAATTGAATTGAAATTCTCTATTAAATTGGAGAACGTCTGCCAAATTCTATTGGCAAACGATTATTGCGTTGTTGGGTTAGGCCCATATTCAAAAATTTATTCCTTACGTGGATATTTTGATGCGTAAAATCTAATCGGACCTTCCTCAAAAAAACGTGACAATATCACGGATAAGAAACATGTTTGTGGTTTAAAGTCGCCCCTGGCTAATCCGCTTCGACGAAGACATTTTCTTGTGATTCTGGAAGCCGTAATTTTATAAAAATGTAATGTATGTTAAAAAAATTGAATAGAATGGTTTTAGTAAAATCACATAAGTCTTTAAAATATTGAAAATCTGAATTTGAAAAATAAATAGAAATATTTTATTACATTATTTTTTTTATGTTATTTTGTGGTGTATATTTTTATGCTTATTTAAAGTCGAGGTGAAATATTACAGTGGGCATTATTTATTTTTATTTTGGAAGTTGCAATGTACACTTACCTCCGGATGGAATCTGAGATATCAAGCGGAAGAAAGCAGCCGCATATTTGGCTTAAAACATGTTAAAACAGGGTTGTAGCGTAAAATAATTACGTTATTCGAAACCCTGAACATGTAATTAGAAAAACAAACAATTCATAAAATGGCTGAGACAGGAAATACTGCTTCAAAGGAGAAATGAAATTTTCAATATTTTAGGTAAATACTATTTATTATTCCCTCGCATTTGAATAAGATTTGGAATTGACTATCTGTTGATTAATACAACAACATTCTAGGAATATAAGGCTCATTTCAGTGTCAGGTTTTATGTAATTGATATGCTTTGTTGTAATATCATACTGGCATTACATCTGAATCGGGAAAAAATATAAATAGCTTGAATATTTGTATAATAGACAAAATTTTTGTATTCAAACCTATTGCCTTAAAATTCAATATCATTTATCAGTAATTTGTATAAATTTATTTTTAGCCAAAAAAAAAAAAGTAAAAGTTTAATATTTGGTATAAATCATGATTTAAATGCATAAATTACATATTAAAAAATAAAAAGGTAATTTCAATTTTCTGTAATTTAATAGAAAGCTCCTTTAAAGTTTTTCTAAATTCACAAGAAATATTTTTGTTTATTATTTTATTAATTCATATAAGAAATCATTAAAGATTAAAAATATATTGGTGATAAATTTCATTTTAGTATATAATTACCACGAACTTGAATTTGTAATCACAAAAACATTTTTGTAACATCAGCCACGTTTCATCGGCGCGCTTTATCAATGGCCCATGTCCAACTTTGTGTGTAATTCAACAAATATTTTCTTGTTAAAAAAATAATTAAAACAAAACGCAAACGCTTGAAGTGCATTCTTGTTTAGTAGACAAAAGTTGTTTGTGAAATTTCAGCACGATTTAAGAATTTTAAGGTCTGATGGCTTCGCAAAACCAAAACAACCTGATAACAGTAAGATTATGCTATTAGTGAAGATTAAGCATGGAACTTGGTTAAGAAGGTATTTTGGATACGTTTTTTTTTCTGATCATGTTTGCCCTGCATAATACATGTAAGCATTGCTGTATAAATCGCAACCTTTGGAATGTAACTTAGTCGATGATGTAATGCCTCAAAATGGCGACGCTGCAGACATTACATAGCCTTCTGCAGAAAATGGGGTCTGCATACGTTGTGGGTGACTTATTGAGGAATGTGGGGTTTGACAATTCAAGCCCCGTAAAATTCAAAAATGTATCGGTCAAACCTCAAATTTGATGTATTTTATGATAAGCCTATATTATTGAGGCTTTTAACCCACATTAACATACCAGCCCAGACAAAAATTTAATGAATGAATGAGATAACAGCTTATTGAATCTTTAAAATATGACATCTGAAATATTTTACACATAGTACCAAGCAAGTGTAATATTAAGCGGTTTGAATTATTCTTAAACTAATAATATTATAAGGATATATTTGCGTATCAGTACCTTTAATAACCTAAACAATGTATGTCCCAATATCTTTCTAATTTTGCATATATTTATATTAAGTTGTTTTATTACACATCCTACTCGGGAAATAAACCGTCTTACATAATGATATATAATATATTTTTTGTTTCATATTGTTGTTACTAAAATACTGTTTTTAATGTACGCTTGTCAACTGTCGTTGTTCCTAAAGAATTTCACAAATATGTGTTAGAATCCATCTGGTAACCACGAATGGAACGTAGCATTCGATTAGCAACACACTGCGAAATTGAAAAATTCGTTTGATCTCGGTTTCAATTACATCCTTCTGTGAGATTAAATACTTACTAATCTTTGCTTGGGACGACGCTGTAACAAACAAACATTGATTGTTGTTACGAAGCGTAGTTTTGCCGCACCTACAAAACGCCGCTAAAATAACTAACACTTGACGATTGAACGACTAATTTTTCAAAAATCTCATTTTTGATTATACCCATATGAAAATATGTTATTGATTACAATATTTCACCCAACAAAATTTTAATTATTATTCCAATTTGCAAGAATCTAGGCTAACAAACTTTTCGACACATTTTACTTTATGTTCCTTTTGCTGTATGGGAATGACTTTTGAAGCCAAAACAAAGACGTTTTCAACAGCTTCACATATAGGCAAAGGCGAGTATTGCTCGATTAAAAACACCTTCAACGCTTAACCACTGTATACACATAAACCCTGTGAGCGAGAGTATTATACGATACATTTTCATTTAAAAAAATAGTAAATTGGATTCGCAGACAAAATACGAACAAAGGTTATGATGTATTTGGATAACGAGATAGTCAAAACAAACTACTTTATTATCATGCTTCATTATAAACAAGTCAAATTATATCGTTTCAGTTAAGTACAATCATGTGTGAAATATATACTACGCGACACAGAGACCACGCTTGGCCACATACGCTTTTCTCAGTAAGCCCTGCGGAATTTGCCATTGTGGTTTTTAATGTTATTGGTTTTGATAGATAGACGTGATTCACTGCCGCAAAAGGATTCTTTGTTTTATCCATCTTCAAAACTAAATAGCGGATTACCACAATACAATGGATGCTTGTTTAAATTTTTATCTTCATCACTTCAGGGCTTATAATCACTACGTATCTAAATAAATTCGTTATCGCGAGGTAAACTTGAAATGTAAACTCAACATTTACGTGTTGTCGCATACTTGTATTGCCGATAGTATCTTATCGCACTGACTGCACTTTTTAGGCAAGGAAGAAGGCATGGACGATCATTATTATGGTACGGATCGCATCAGTATCAAATAGCAAAGTTTTGCAAATAATTGCAGATTTGGCAAAATCAAGATTCCAATATAAAAAAAAAAATAAATCAGAAATAGGCCCGACTATTTTTGTGTAATTGAACCAACCTGGGTGTTACAGAAGATAAAATGAAACGATAGGATAAACTACGATTCCCACAATAATATTTGTTATCGTGTTAAATGCCTATCCATACTTCTTCAACTGAAATATCCACCGACAATGATATAAAATAAAATAATAAAACTCACCTGAAAATAATTATTATCTCCTGCTGATGAACTATGTGATAGAGATCCAGGTTTGTCAGATGCCAAAGAGCTGCTACTCAAGGTGCTGGCATCGCTCCTCTTTCTGGGTGCACCAATAACTTGAAAAGAGTCCGGTCCTAATCCCAGATCCGTGGTCGCCCGTCTTTGAAAAACATGCTGTGTGGTTGCCTCATCAGCGTAATGAAGAGACCGTGATCTCATTATAGAAGCAGCGTTTTTGCCTCGTCTCCTTCCAGCTTTATTAGCGGCTAATTTAGCCTTACGATCTGTATACAAAAATTCCTCACCAGCACTGTTTGATTTTGGGTGACCGTATAACTGCTGCTTTGATGAAGCAGGCGAGGGAAAATTGGCGCGAACAAAGCTTGTAGATGCCGGCGTCAATATTTGATGTCCGTCTTCATTTTTTGATATCTCCGAGGTCAGTTCGTTCGAACCGAGTTTATTAACCGGCAATTGTGATGGCACTACTGGTTTATTCGAAAACTCCTTACGTAAACGGGATATCAATCCCGACGCACTTGGTAGTGCCGTTCGTGGAGCGGGAGGATGGGGAGAAGGGTAATTTATATTTGATATGTGCGGGGAAACTGATTCCGCAGACCGTGAGCTTGGGTTTAAGAAAGGATGTGCCTGTGGTAGTTCTATCACTGGTGATTCGTCGCTCAACGCTCTTCTTGGTGGGGTTTTCGCGTACTGGGGTACTTGCTGTTTGGTTTTTGTTAAAGGTGAATTTCCACCACCCCGTGCTGGACTAGTTCCGTTAGGAGCCTCATGATTCAGCGCGTTACCATTGTTTTTGTTCCCATGCGCGCGACAATACGACTGTTCCGCCATTAAATGCTGCAAAACGCCGCCGCCAGACATTCTCCGTCGATGACGCTCGGCTGTCGAAGATTTTCCTGTCGCGTTTTTTCAGTCTATTCTCCCTTCAGTAGGGAATTTCGACGAGAATACAAACAAAATGTATAATCCCAACTCAGTGCAAATATTCCATAATAGATGTTTTCGTTTTTGTGATATATCACATTCACCTGGCTTTTAAACAGTGTTAACGTATTGATAATGTTACGCTTTAGTGTATAAGCTATATATTATATATCTAAAAAGTAGGAATATAAAAAAATAATGAGTCATTTATTATCTTGAATAATTACCCTGAATGATATTTCAAGTCAGTAATATATATTAGTATCTCTTTTTCGTGAAAAACAGCTTAAAACCCACTTGTAAAAGATTCGAACTTGTATACATTTCTACGTGAATCTGACGAAAATTTCAATCCATCTCCTACAAGGTCCTTCTTCCTTTTAACTTAGACTCCTGAAAGTAAACATACTCTATTCCACATAGCGTGAATATCGGTAGAGAGTTCAAAATAATCACGAGTTTAATAACGGATGTAGAGCAAATAGCAACGTTGCGAGTTGTTTACCAACTTAGTACAACTGCATGCATGCTACCTATGCCGTACAATCATCCACAGAAATTCCGAGACAAATTGAGATTCTTGACTATTAAAAATATTCAATTTATGTTAATATTATACATCAAATGTCACATAGTTCATTTCTGAGTAAATTAATATCTTGGATATTTGTTCTCCCACAATTATTTATGATGAATCACAGAAATGCGCCAAAATAAACGAAAATTTCCATAGTCAGCGACTCCAAATTGCTCGGATCAATTCATAAATAAGATACGGAATTTGACCCAAGGAAACTGAAACGAGAATTTGCGTGTTTGAGATTTTATCTTATTTCTCATTAAAAGAACTAACTTGTTGTGTCTGATATGCGGTTTAAAGTCGTGTAGTTCGCAGACCAAAAAATTACAAAAAGGAAAATTATTCGACTTGTCTCGAGTTTATAAGCGATCGTTCAACTCGGGCACAATGGGCCTCCTTGGCAACGCCTGGTCAGAAAACATTTGAACTATGCAGGATATCTAGATGCCGTCTTGAATCTCCGCACCTTGTGCTAGTCCAATTACTATAAATTCTTGTTGGTCTTATGGTTTCTCAAAAATACCCTTTAAAATATTTAACTTCGGTTTCGAATTGGAGTCAAATATTTGTCCCTAATAAAGTCTAGTTTGCTTTAACCCCAACGAAGCCTCTTTACAGCGATTTACAAATGAGAGCAATTACGTCGCTTTCGGTAAAACCGCGGCGCCAGCTCAACCTAAATTCCAAGCAATTCTGAAATTGAAGTAAAATTAGAAAGGAAATGAAGAAAAATAATTGGCGTAAGATTGATTTAACCACAAATATCTGGCTTAGGTGGGTATTACTTTTTCAGTTGATGGGCTAAAAATTAAATAAATCTGCACTTGGTATTGATACTTGGATGAACAGTTAAATAATACATTTCTATAACATAACAATTGATGTATCATGTGTTATAAAATTTATTTTATCAGTTGCATAACTACTAGGTATACAGAGGATATTCCCACATTAACATAAACACTCGTCAACTGTATCATCATCATAAGTAGGCTAACCCGCCAATTTGGATAGCAACGTTTATGCGCAAAATCAACGCAGCTCTCAAACCAACCTATTAATCAGCCAAGTAAGCATGCTCTTGATACTCCACTGATATTCACTGCTATTCCGACCACATTCGAAGTAATCTCAACGTAACGTCTCGCCACATAATACGGGACGCCGTTCTGACGATATTAAATATTAATATCGAATTCAAAACATGGCTGCCTAACTTTCGACCTAGCCTAGCTAACTGAGTAATGTGGCATCCGGCTTATTTAATTAAACAACCAACTCTGGTGAAACGAGAACTTCTAAACAACGTCCGAACTACCACAAATAGACCTTAACCAAAGCTTATGCTGTATTTTAGATAGGTCCGAAATATCTGACTAATCCCTTAATTCCAGTGTACAACAAATCTGGTTGGTTGTACGATATCTCTTGGGAAGAAAAGAACCAAACAATAGTGGGTCAGCGCATTCCGGTACTGAAGTCAACTAAAGTATACTCGCGTCCCTTTTATGAAAGTATACATTTCTACGGTTCGTCTACAATACCTCAGCTTTGAACATAGACCTTATGTTAATTCTCAAGAAACTAATATTGAGCATCATACACACCCTCCTTCAGGAGTTTCGCAAAACACGCGAGCTTTTGGCTGCCCTCGACAACTCAATCATTCGACCGGCTTTGCTTCGTGGTAATCTCGCGTAGCGATGAAATCCGACCCGCATAAAATAAAAGAACAGACATTCCGATCTTCGCTCAGTCCTTTTTCCCCTTTCGCTCATCTTCGCGTTTGTTTATTAAATCGCCAGTCTTTTATTTTTCAGGAACGCGAGCCTTGGCGGACGACGCTGAACACCTCGATTAGTCCGACAGTTGTTATCTGTTATTTCAGGCCCGCCAGCTATAGCCATTATCGCCGTGATTCGAAAAATTAAACTTTGCTTTTCCTGTCAGAGAAATTCCACGAATAATTTTGAGACTATTCATTGTTAATGGGCATGATTGGAAATAGTAAATTGGTGAAATGCCGGTACGCCGTTAGTAGCCGCAGTTCATCCCCTGTCAAACTCTGACACTCTTCCCAAAATATTCACTGCATTATATCCAACGGAGTACTATCGTTAATCATTAAATCATTTTTTACAACACATCTTCGTCAAAACAATACAAAGTTAAAAACCAGAAAATAACTATTGATCGGTCAGTGACTTGAATTCCGATTTCAAGTGAAGAAATTGATACGCACGATTTCAAAACGCAAAAACAGTTCGATCTAAAATGTTTTTTTTTTCGAACAAATACAAGAATGTTTTTCCAGAAATGGCGCCAGCAAACGTGACCGATATGTTACAAATTTGTAGAAATATTTTAAAAATGCTTATATACTCGTGACATGAGAAATGGTATATGAACTATATATCCATAAGATTAAGATTCTGATAACAGACCCATATTATACATTACACGTTGATTTATTGTCTATTGCAAATATTTGGGTATATTTGCTCAAATAGTACAGAAAATATTATATAAATATGCTATTATTTTCAACAAAATTCGATGTAAAACAAACATGGATGAAAACCAAAAATACATGGTTTACATTTATAAACCAATAGTTTATTGTTTCAAAGAAGATATTGTACTAACTACGTGGATCTAGAAACTTCTTTCAAGCTTCTGTATACGAAAAAGAAATCACACTATTAATTAACGTCATACAGCATTCCGTAAATGCCGGATATCCGAAGTGAAAAAAGAACTCTTATCTGATAGATGGCGGGATGATATACATATCCCCAAGCAATAAAGTGACACAATGAAGGGTGACTATTTTTGTTAGATATTTTATACGATAGATCATTCTTGAATATCAGATAATGAATTTTATGTTGCTAAACTGTAACGCTTTTTACATTTTCAAGTATCGAGAGCGTAAATGAACTTCGATCACGCGAACCAACGGCACATCAAAATATTCATCTTTAAATTAATGTTTTTAAAATACGTCTTATTGTAACTGCTTACTTAGAATCATTTCATATACTTGTGGTTTACTGAAACAGCTTAATAAACTGTACATATAATTAGTATCTAATTTAAATACGATCAGTATAAAAATATGAATGCAATAACGAAAGGTTGGATACCTATTCAACAACATATAGTCGTAAGGTACAATGTTTGATTCTGATTAACTTTATTCCAAGTATGTTACTATATTATTTTATTTAGATGTCTGCAACTTAGCCCCGTGAAAGCTTTGTATAGCACTACGAACACTATCAATAATAAAAACACTCAGATTTGTTCGCTCAATTGACATTCAAATAATCCCAGTACAAAAAATACAACTATGATATTTTATTTACGAGTATGAATCATTTTGTTGAATCGCAAGTGACACGCTTCAATATAAATAATACTTTATCAACATATATGCAGTATTCAATCAAACAACTCCAACTCATTAGACCGTTTTTACAGAAATGTCTACGTTGGATATTGTACAGAAATTGTGAACGTGCCAACCCGACTATCAAATAGTGTTTCTCAACGCTGACGTGTATTAGCTATATTTTATACAGAAATAACTTATAATAATGCTGTGAAAGATATTCGATTTCTCATTTCAAAGTCACCACAACCCGAAATGCAGATCCAGTTTCATCCCACAACAGTCATAGACAGAGAACGATTTTTATTGAGCATCTTTCGAGCTATGTTCATCATCTACTTAGTTTTGTCATATTTCACATTCCCGAAATCCATTCTCAAAATATCTTGAAATTTTTCTTCATATTAATCATCAACTCTAAATGTACCCTTTACATGACTAAGTGTGAAGTGCAATGTGTGTGAACAAAAGAATAGGTGATATCTATTGTTCCAGACATAAACAAGAAACTATGAATAAGATCATGTTATTTCGCAACAACTTCGGGTTATACTATAAATATTGTATGCCTAATTTTGAATATGCACAAGATACCAAACTAGAAAAAAATCGATCTTGGTCCTATTCTGAATTGGACCTTCAAAAGTATTGTGTTACTATCAGGTTATTTCATAGTGAAGTTGACTTACACTATGATTTTTGTAAACCAATTCAGAATATGGATCACATACCTCTTGTTACATGCGGTTTACTCAGTGAATAAGTAGATTAATATTTATTCCCAAAGAACGATCTAGTTCTGATGTAAACACAGAATCTTATTGTAAAAAAACGCCTTGTTGAAAGTTGCGTCAGATAGAAATCTAGCATTTTGTTCAACAAGATTCAATTTCCTTTGAAACATCTGTAATATCTGTAGCATTTGTTGAATGATTGACAATGCTTTATGTGTCGTTTAGTGACATTCCTGTTTAATCAAATTTAAAGTAAATTAGATCCACACACACAAAAAATCCCGACCGACCATTGCCCAAGCTTGGGTCGATTCTACTAATAAAGACATTCAAAACATACCAATCATTCCGCACTGACCTATGATGTATCAATAGCAAAATTCCAAACGAGTTAAATACTCATTGCGCAATTTGATTAACGATATTCTTTGGCCACGCGTAGTAGTGGTCGACTGTTTA